TCTCGAAAAAATATATAGGGATCGTACACTGCAAAAATCTCTTTTGCTAGTTATTATTATTACAGGTTCTAGAAGTAGCATTAAATCAGAAGTATGAAGTGTCAATTCATAGAATATGAATAATGAACAACATTATTTTAGTAAATAGATTGTATATATTTTAATTTTTTAAGTATTATTAATTTAATAAAATACTTTAGACTGTGCCATCTGCGCCATAAGAATTGTATTTTTTTTTTTTCGTTTCTCAAGAAAATTTTTTTTTTTGGAGCATCATTTATTGGATGAACACAAACAAAGATTATTGTCTTTAATTTCTCTGACTCCAATAAATGTTTTTCTTTTTGGACAATAAGAGTCATATTGTGTACTAACAATAACTGAATAGTAGTATCTTACACATGAAATTTATTACACACATGAAAATAACATAATGTAACCAGTCTGAGTTTTATTGAATTTATTTTAAAAGAAATAAAAATTTTTGATTATGAAAAATCTATTGTTATACTACTTTGCATTTATTTCAATTTGTACAACATGCCTCTTCCTTTCTTCTCTTTCCATTTTTAATCTGCTGATATGCGTATATAATTTTATATAAAGAATCAAACAAGGGTCTGCTTCAGCTTTACAAAACTAAAATGCTGTTGTAGCACAACTCCGAATTTAATTGCGATTTTCCATACTTCTGGTAAATTTAAGCCATAAGTTTAAGACGATAATCAAACACTAAATATGTCTCTAAATTTGGTTCGGGTTATGATCACATTTCGGAAATTGTACATTCAAATCGAAAATTCCAATTTGAAATTGAAATTCTGACTTTAGAGTTTTAACTTGAACGTAATCGTGTGTGGGTTACAATATTTTAAAAATACCCAGGTTACGTATTGATCGGATGTGATGTATTATACTTGTATAGATAAAAATTATACTGTAAATATCGTTTAACCGAATAAGGAAGTTCATAATCCGTGACGGATAAATTAAGGTGGCGTGTCAATTCGAAAAAGATCATGATCATGAAATCCAGTAGATCCAAATCTTCAGTATTGGAAAGTATAATATGTATCCTTCTTGGGAGACAACGCTTGTATTGACCTGTCAGACAACTGAAAAATTAAATATCAACCTAAGTCGTCTAGTTAATGTGACATCATTGTGACTAATTTTATATATTGCATTTTATCGGATTATTACCAAATAATGTTACTATTTTCGAGCCTTTTTTTATCGAGACTTGAATTATTAATTTATTTAGATTAATTTATCTTAACAAATATCACTATATAAATTTTCATACAATCTTGATTTTTAAAAGCCTTTCAGGCTTTCACGAACAATTTCATGATCTTATCATAAGTATATTAATTAAAAAATCACGCCAAATTTAATTTTTATCGTCTAGCATGATAAAGATTCTTTAATATTAACCCTCGAAACCATATTATTAGTTATTAATTACGGTTAACTTTCCGAAGACTAAACCATTGGTATAGTTACCACTAATTCTTTAACTAATTTTCTTTTTCCTTTCTTCGGTTTTGTTTTCATCGTCCTCATTATCACTATATTCTAAAGGAATTAAAATCCGACGTTTACGTTTTGATTCAATCCCTTCACTTCTTCATCGTCAAATTCCAGCTGGGGCCATTAATGCCGCGCGTCATGATTAAGAGTTAGTTTTGGTTTAACGCTGTTATTTTGTGAAGCACCATTTGTGGCAAGCGTTAAAATTTCTTTTTCATTATTTAATTCTGCTTCCATAGCATCTTCACGCTGCTTTCTTTCTTAAGCGTCTGTAATCGATGTTGTTCAAGCTCAATTTCTTGCTGTTCACGCAACCTATCTGCCTCATCCATGATAGCCAATTCACGTGCTCTGCAACGAGATCTACATAAATTATAAAAAAAGTTATCGTAGAGTAAAAAACAGACAATAGCCTTTTCCTATTCGGTAATCTGTCGTACTCTCTGAAATATAGTGTTACAATTTTTTTTTATATTTTTTAAAATAAAAACGATCATCAAAACACTTGCAAAGTATACTCTTTTTTGGTTGTGATCAACACGAAAAGTTTGCCTGCGAATTTAATATCTTAGATTTTAGATTATAGATTTAGTAATAAGAATAACGAATCCTAAATCTAAGAGTATAACGCCCACCTCCCTCCTTATGAATCGATGTGCTATATATATTTTTTCTCCATTTTTTTTCATTTAAAAGAAGAAAAAAAGAAAAATTACGGGTTACTCTACGTATTACGCACAATTTACTTACGCAAAAAATAAGTTTTTATATATTACTCAAAATAATCAATATTACTTTATTTTACACAATATAAATTTATCAATTTATTCAAATCAACAAATCAAAAAATTTTCTTCATTTTCTTTATATATAAAAAATTTTTAACGTGTTACTCAACATATTATACAATATTTACAAAAAATAAAATAAAAAAAAATTTTACGGTTTACTCAATATATACTGTATTATATAATATAAAATTTGTCAATTTATGTAAAAATAAATAAAACCATATTACCGCAATATAAAATTTATTTTTTTCATAAAAATTTTACACGTTACTCAATCAATCATCAGTATATTTTTCAATATAAAATTTATTTCTTTATAAAAAAAAATTTAATCAAAGAAAAAAAACTGATCTTTATTTGTTTCCTATCTCTTTTTTTACTCATTTACTCAATCAAATTTCATAATTTCATAATATAAATATGTAAATCGAATAAATTCATGTTAAAAAACTGGTATAAAAACAAAAAAAATTTTTTTTTTTCTCTAATTTCCATAAAGGTATAAATAAATAATTACAAAAAGGCAGATGATGTGGCTATAATACTATACAAATATTACGATATAATATAAATTTTTATATATCATCTACATAAAAAAAGGAAAGATTCGGATGATGTGGCTTAAATAATTACAATATTACTCGTGCTTCTAAAAAAAAATTCCCAAAATAGGTTTTTTGCAGCGATCGGACTCCTTTATTTTATTATCGAAAAATAAAAAAATAGATCTTTAGTTAATCAAATCAAACAAAATTTTTTTTTTAAAAAAAACGAATCTTTATTCTGGAGTGCAAGAATGATTATTAAAACTGAAGGAATCCACTTTTATCAATTAAAACATTTTTTTTAATTCTTTTTTTTTAATTCTTTTAAATTGATTTATTATAAAATAAAAAAAAATTTCATGTAATTAAAATAAAAATAAAAAAAATTTGTCGTAAATTCATACACTTTACATTTTTTTTTCTTCAAATTAAAACTCGATTATCACTTCATCTATTGAAAATTTGTATATAAATACTCTGATATTTTTTTTTACTTAAAAAAAAAACGTATATTTATATTTTTCAAATATACAGTTTTATTCTTAAAAAAAAAAAAATTTTACAATATCTTTTCTACTACCTATATCTCTAATGCCAGCAAAGTTGAGTACGATATACTACATTCACGATTCAACCCAGAAGTCAACAAAGGAATATAGCTTAAAAGAAATAACTGGAATATCCAGACTGAACAATGAAGACCCAACCAAAATCATATATCTAAAAATCAAAGCGTTTGTTCCATTGGATAAAGAAATTGATACACAAATCAAAGAATTTGAAAATGGTCAGGTAATTTACTTGAGAGGTAAATTTATTGCCTGCAATGAATGGTACACGGTATGTTATTGATTTTTTAGTTCAAAAAACAAAAAATGAAATAAAATAAAAATTAGTATCAAATCCCCATGACCTATTTTCATAATATATTTATCTATTATTCACCAGTAAAAAAAAATAAACCTAAAATACTTACTAATGTATAAAATATATCAATCAATAAATCTACAATTAAATTTTTCAATTTTATTTTAATAATTTTATTACATTTATATCAAATAACAATACTTTAATAATCAATGTTCAATATATTACATAAATATACAGTAAGATTATTAATTATTTGTATAATTTGATTATTAAACAAACTGTTAGAAAATAAAAACTCATGTTTAATTGATTTGGACAATAAGAAATTTTATAAATTTACTTATTTTATTATTATTTTAATATAAATACAAATAATATAATTTATCAAACACTTCTAATATTTATTATGAATTATAACTAAATCAATATTTACTTTAATCAATCAATTATTTAAAATTATAACTGTTTGATTAATATTATGTGTTTCTCATGCTACTGATCACACAATTATATAACCATGGGTACTGGATAAAAGATTACTCGCTAGTTAAAATTCATAATTTCTCCGTTAAATTGATTACAAGATGAATGTGATATATACCTACCTGTCTTTGTGATATTCTTCTTGACCTCTATCAGCTTCAATGTCATCGTCCCATTCCGCTAACTTTTTCACCATTATTTCCCGATCTCGAATTTTGTTTTTCTCTAACATTTAAATCTCGTTCTGCTTCACGTTCACGATTTGTTGCCATTGTTTCTTCTCTATGTTGCCATCGTCGGTCTTTCTCTCTAATATAAGATAATTATTATTAAAATCAGTATATATAATCCAAAAACAAAATTTAAATAATTTAATATACCCCTTTAAAAGCCATTTCCGTTTCAGTTTTTCTTTTAGCTTGTCTGCGTTGTTCCTCTTCTTTATCGTCTAAAATATAAGATTCGCGTCTTAATTCTCTTGCAGGAATAAAATTTACTGGATGATGATAATGTCCATATTGCCGATCTCGATCTCTATCGGCTTTCTTTCTCTCTCACGTTCTCTCTCTATTTTCCCTTCTATGTGAACGTTCCCTTTCTTTTTCAGCTTCAGCTCTACGATTTGCTCGTTCTTCCTCTTCTCTCTGACGCTCTCGTTCTCTTGCTGCAGCACGCTCTCAAAAGAATGCTATTTCTCGGTAAATAACGAAGATCCTTTTGATCTGGAGGAAGATCAGTCGGTAAATCTGTGTCATCATCCTTTTCTTTATGTTATGTTTTTATTTCTGTAGCTGGTGATGTTCGATAAGCCAGTTTATTTTCATACTGCAAATTTATTGGAGGTTGTAGATTTCTTATATCCTGTGGCTTAGTCATGTCTTTTTATCTAACTCTGTATCATGCTAAAAGACAATAATTGACATCAATTATGATAGCTAAAAAAAAGAAAAAAATTATTTCTATAGTTAATACAGACCACCGTTCCTGGCCTTGAAGCCTCATATTGAGCAAGATATTTTCTTGTATTTTCATCGGCTTTAACTTATAATACATGTGGATAAATGGTATTAATATATATATATAATTTAGATGAAGAATTAGGATCAAAAAGTAATTTATCAAGAAGTGATTGCTTACTATTAACTTTTTTATCATCACCCGAACCTTCACCGCCAAGTACATGCAAAGCGTAAAGAACGCAGTACACAGCATATTCCGCAAATCCAAAACCCTTTGGATTTCTGGATTGGTCTTTAACTCGTTGCCAAGATTTTAATGTACTACAAGTCTTTGCAATCGCCAGATAAGCAAATAAAAAAAAAAAAAAATAAATTGTCAGCTAAAGTATTTGATAAAATCACACCGGAATATGTTCATGCGCCCATTAAGCGCATTAAAGCATTCAAGACTAAGATAAATTCGAAAGCTATCTGGGAAAAAAAAATATTTAGCATCCAAAATAATATACAAAAGTTTTTTCTTGATCGCATCTCCAAATATTTACGCCTTCTTTTAAAGCTTCAAGGTTCATTTGATAATATAGTGTTCATTAAAATCTTCATCCCTTCGATTGGACATCATCGTCAATTTGTTGACAAGTATCGATATATAGCATTCATTTGCCCACCAAAAAATTAAATAATTGATCACTACCTTGAGAATTTTTCCATCCAATCATCATGATATCCACAAATGAAAAGATTTGTCAATTTTTCTATTTCTGAATCTGGAGCTGCCATTGGTGATATACCACCCAAAGGAATACGTCTAGGCACTGGTCGAAGTGGGGGGATGTGCCATACATTTGCACTAGAGAAATTTTATATACACGTCACATTTCATATTGATTTACCAGAAATTTCAATTAAATCCAATTAAAATGTATATTACAGAAATTTGTTGTAAACTTGTCCAATTTCCATGAAGTGTATATGTCTCCTGAAATTTACAAGTTTCTATTATATAAATGTATTTCAAATTGCGATAAAACCTTCTTTAAACTTATAACACATTAAAACGAAATTTTTTATGTTACAAAGAAATGTTAATGAAATTTTGCTCATATTTAGCAAATATATAGCTAAAATATTAATAATAAATACAATAAATGTACTAGAAATTTTATATAAATTCTATATATATTATAATGAAGTACAGTACAGTATATCTGGTGTAGTATAATTGATTTTGTACATGTAGTTAATAATTAAATATAATTAAACTAAAATCTTTAATCAATCAAAATTATGTTAGCTAGATGAGGTGGTATAACGCCGAGTTGGGAACAAGGTGGTCGTCACGAATAATTATGATATTGGGGTGAATGAGATTTATCTAATGTTAGGAGGAGTTCACGGTAAAAAAAAAATTTAAACCTATTTGACATTGGGGGTGAATAAAACGTCAAAAAATTGTTTAAAAATAAATCAGGAGTTCACGAATATCAGATTTTCTTAGCTTGTACAACTGCCAAAATTCATGAAAGTCACGTGAATGATCAGGATTGGATTAAAACTACTAGTATTAGATATGGATTTTCCTTACCACCAGGTTATGTAAAGCGGTTGCTAGATCATGGCATGGAAGGTCAAAGTAGAATCACCGACAGGTTATGGAGGAGAAGCAGGTAATCGAAGATGAGCGGTCATGTGAAAGTAGTGTTTCTTGGTTTCCTTGTGGCGTCTTTTGGGGATATTTGGCGGCCTGATTCATCAGGACAAAAGGACGGGATTGGACGATCTTTAGAAGGCGATTAACTTGTCATTCATGGAACTGGATAGCCAGACCTTTATATTCTCAAGTCATGTATCTTCACATAAAAAAAAAAATTTTTTTTTGAGAAAAAAAATCGTAAGGGTTTAGGCGATACTATAGGATAGTGACCAGTGGTTAGTTTAGATTATATATATAAAAGAAATACGCCATTTTGTTTTTTTTTCTATTTTGTATTGTTTTTTGGGGTTTATTTCTGTTTTTGGGTTCGTGAACATACATATATACTAGTTTGTAAGTGGCAAATAAACAATGAAAATAGAGAAAATATAGGGATAAAAAGATAAAAAGATAGAGTTAATACGTGCCAACTTGCAGAAAAAGACATCAACATCGAATAGACCAGTTTACCAGAAGTCCTAGATGAATAGAAAGTAAAGAGAAAGTTTATTTATATCTCACATCGCAAATTTAGTTATAGTAAGTTAGAGTAAAAGTCCATTTTTATAGAAAGAAATGTTAGAAGCATTTCTAATATTTTTTTACATAATAATGAATCCATTCCCCACCTCTACTTACTGAAATAGGCCTTCTGAAGGTTTTATTTCATTTTCCCTAAAAAAAAAGAAAAACAAAATGTGAAACGTTTTTTTTATGCATAAAAACTCAACTATCCCTTTACTTCCACTTACAAAAATGGATCCTTCTGAAGAGTCTGTTTCATTTTCCCTAAAAAAAAAGAAAGCAAGAATGTTAATAACGTTTCTAACATTCTTTTACATAAAAAAATAAAAAAAATGAGAATATTAGAAATGTTTCTAACGTTCTATTACATAAAAAAACACCCCTTACTTTTCCTACTGAAAAGGTCTTTCTAAAGGTTCCGTTTTATTTCCCATAAAAAAAAATAATAAAAATGTTGGAAGCATTTCTAACATTCTTTTATACTCCTTTTACCACTTATTGAAATGGGCCTTTCCAAAAGTAATCTGGTTCATTTTTTCTAAAAAAAGGAAAACTGAAAACATTTATTCAATTTAAATACTGTGGTAATAAATTATATTTTCCAAAGATTAATACCAAGATATGTTAGTCAAGTTTGTTTATTTTTTTGTATAAAAAATTTAGAAAGAGCGTTAGATTAAAAAAAAAAAATTGATAGACTTTTAGACTTTTTTGTGCATAAAATCAATCAAGAATTATTGTCTAAAGCTTATTTATCATGTCGCGTATAATTACCAATCAGATTTTAGGATCAGGTGTAATAATTGGCATCAACTTTACGCGTCACTATTTAATAATAATAATTATAATATACTATTATAATACAACTTATACAAATTGCTTCTTTATTGTTAACTTATAAAAGTGTTGCCTCATCCAGCAACTTTAATTCAGCAACAAGATATTAATATATTTTAAATTAATTAAAGAAACATTGACCAATTAAAGCACCTGAAATTAGCGAGAGCAAAATGAAATATTATTTATTAATATGATATAAATTGTCTATCAGGCCGTAAAAGTATGTGCCATTATCAAGTAAATTTATAAATTTGACATTTCATTTAATATATTAAAATTTAAATTAGTAAAAATTTGCTTGGAATTTGTACATTATAAATTAGTGAGTTAAATTTAAAATCATAAAATTTACAATAAATTTTACCATTTCAATCTATAAATTAAATTTGATAAAGATTTCTTAATTGCAATCGAGATCTCCAAATGTATTAGCTATTTATGGGCAATAAGCTTCATGCAAATCATTCCACTTCGACCAGTGAGGAGCCATATAAAGCTGTACATTGTGTGGGAATACCAGAAGTATAGCCACCCCGCGAGATTTGTCTATAGGTAAGAGGACCGCCTGGTGAGTAAATCGTAAGAAACTCGATATTGAGCTATGAATAACAGTAAGTAAAGTAAGTAAAATATATAGATGTAAATATAAATGATGAAATCAGAACGGGAACTCTAAGTTTATATAGGATTTCTGTTGAGTAACGTCAGTAGTACAAGTTTGATTAGTCCATATTATTAATAATCACGTGATTAAATGTGACTTTTCCCGTTTGAATTGCTAACTTTTTTTTTGTGTCCGTACACAACATTGTTAGCACTGCATGAATAGAATAGTAATAAATAAAAATTGAAAATCAGAACTTTTAAATTCATCCGCAAATTTAATAATTTGATGTGCTTTCTCATCTGTTTTTTACAAAAAAAAAATAGGGAATAAAATAAATTTCATAATGAAATGTTTTCTTTGCATTTTAGCTTGATTTTTGATTTTTCTTTTTCTAACATTCATCGGAGTTTTTTTTTCAGAAAATTTTTTAGAGGGCAGCAGTGGGTTAGTCACTCCAAAATAGTAAAAATGATTATCGCATACTGCTGCTGATATAACGCAATAAGCGGTTACGTCGATTTTTATGGTTTTATCTGCTATTAAATTAGTCGGATTATAGTTATGTACAAGTACTGTTTATTTCTTCTCGTGATATTTGATTATCTTCTAAACTAATATATATGAAATTATCGGTCAAACAGAACCAGTGTGATCCTATAGGGAATATTTTATAAAAATATTTTAACATTATATACATATTAATATATTAATATTTTTTTTTTTAAAAAAAAATATATTTTTATTAGTTTTAAGTACACGTTATTATTATTCTATAAATAATAGTGTATCATTATACATGTTATTCATTATAACTTTTTATATGTATAAAAAATTTATTCGTTAATTTGCAGTATACAGTATTAAATTTTAATAAATAGACGCTAATTATCAAATGAAACGTATTAAAATGTACTGTTAATAATGTTTGTATAGTGATGTAAAAACAGCACGGTGATGAACCGAAAAGATATGATACATTTTTCCACTTTCATTATTTCCCTCTCTTGATATGAATAATTTAACTTTATTTCCTAATCGGCAATTAACAATTTGATCCGTTCTTATATAGAATCGAAAAGCTTTAAATGTAGCAAGACACTATTTTATCAGCGTTATTGATGACAAATAAATGTTATGGACCGATCTAATCTCGGTTAGGTATATTTTTTCATATGATATGAAACGAGCTTAATCATTTTTTAGTTAAGGTCAGAAACACTATTATCCACCTGATTCCGTCGGCAATCAGGCTTTTCTATAATTTTACATATTCGGGTGAAGATATTCTATCGGAATAGATCTAAAGCACTTTTCATTATGTGTAATATCGTTAATTACCACTCTCTTATTCTTTATAACTATAATAAAGGAAATCCGTAGCATATGGTGAATTTGAATAAGTTAAAGGGATATGATGAATTTAATTTTCATATTAAAGTATTTATAATATTTGAAATATTTAAGTGAAGATGCTACTGTATTAGGCCTATGTAACTGAATTCAACATAAAGAACGGTCGAAATTCCAATTTCATTTCATATTCTTTAAAAAGTACATTATCGTTAACATTAACTGTTAAGTATTCATATGATATAATGGTATGATAGTTAATTCATTTTTTTTAATATTAAATCCAATATTAAAAAACATTTTAATTCGTGATCCGTGAGTCAACTGTAAAAAGTTCATTTATGCAAATTTATGTCGATCATTAGTAATTTTTTCAACACCAACATATTTTTTAATACATAATAATATTTATCCCAAAGTTTCAAATAATTTGTTTTTTACAATAATTTTTCAGATTCCCATTTTTTTGCAGATCGTTTGCGGTTATCACAAATTAAAGCTTTAATTAATGAATAATATTATCTTACCGCGTTTACCTAAATTGACATATTACTTGTTTCAACAGACGGAATATTTCTAGTTAAATGTCTCGATTTCTCGAATCTCAAGAACCTGCCATAAAAATTTCCGCTAAGATATAATATTAAACCTAAGTTAATAAAATTTTTTAAATACTAGCTTAAATTTATTAAATAATACTCTGACTATTTTCGAAAAAAAACCGATTAATTTTATTGAGATCTATTATTAAAATAATTAAATAAATCATTATTAATAAAATAATAAATTACTTCAAATAAATTATTTTACCTGATTCGTTCGAAACTATAAATTAAACAATAACGTTAAAATAAAGATATAATTATTTACTGATATTATATATTGGACTTTGATACCTAGTCATGATTATATGTTGGTTTCTGATGTACAGTAGAATTTGCTTTTAATTTTTTAATCAAAATTAACGTAAAAATCGCAAAATAAAAATAAAATTGCTTCCCAAACTTAATCATGATATCTTTGATGTGTTTAAAAAACAAAATGTTTATCATTAACTAAGAAATGTTTCTTTTTCTATTTCTTTTAGTAAACTGTCTTATTTTACAATGCTTGTATAATAAATAAATAATGAAATTGTACAGTGTCATAATTATGTAGTATAATTACAAAAAAGTTAAAAAAGTGCGTATTAAAAAAATTTGAACTGAAATTACACAAACTACTTAAATTACACAATCATCATATATTTCACTTTTTTAAGCCATAGTATGAAAATTCTTAAAATAGTCAAGCTAAAGGCTTACATTAATTACAAATAAGGCTTATATATATATGGCTTATTAAATCTGGATCATCACATTAATTAGTTTTAATACTATTGTAATATTTGTGGCTTCGATCACAGTACTCAATACTTTTATGAGTTTTTCCGATACCCAACTTTTTTTAAGCCCCATAATGAACAATCAAGCTAAAAGGCTTACATTAATCACAAATAAGGCTTAGATACTATGTATGGCTTAGTTAAATCTTAATTATCATTTATCAGGATCATCACATGAATTAGTTTGATTTAATACGATATTGTATAGGGGCATTAATCTTATAAATACTTTTACAGATCTCTCAATTTTTCTACCTTTTTTTTTTTATCACATTATGATAATGAGCTGCTCATCAAGATCACAACAAGAAGCACATAAGTTGCTAGAGTTATTGTTAGAGATAACAGCAATGAACAAACTTTTATGGTATATATATTTTTTTAATTAATTATTTTTAACATCATTTTTAAAAATCTATTAATGGGAAGATACATGGAGCTTTGTATCCTATATTTTCTCGGTGTGGAGAGTAATACTTTGAAGTCCGAGTTATTTATAGACAAGAAGTATTATTCAAAAACATAATATATTTTTAAAAATGGATTAATGTAATAGTATCAAACAATTAAATTGAATGTAACTAATTATTTCTTTTCTTAATAATATAAAGCCTACAATTTCCAGAACATTAAGAGAGACATTATTTACCCAGGGGAGCACAAGAAAATTGGATGATGATGATTTTAAGTTATATAAGGATTCATCAGGATGTACTAGTTTAAGATGCGAAAAGGATCTGATATCTGTTCACCAAAACCAGATTGATAATGTTGTTGACTTTGAGACCTTTAATAAATTAAAAGAATTTAGCTCCAAAGTTCAGAATTTGGAGGAGGAAATTAATTCTAAATTAATAAAATTAAAACATAACATCACCACGCAGTACCATTACTTTACTACCACCACTAGCAGCAACAGCACAAGCAGTACCACCACCACTGACACCACTACTACCACCACTAGCAGCAACAGTACAAGCAGTACTAGTACCCCTATCACCACCAATAATAAATCAAAAAGAATTCACACAGACATTGATAAATTAACAAAAAATATTGTTGATCTTGTTGAAAATATCATGTCACCTACATTTCTGCAATCATTACTCATAATTCCAAAAGATCATCTTCAATTATATAAATTACATAAAGTAGTCCTATATGAATGTAATAAATATATTGATGAAGTGTATGTATCAGTTAATAATATATCCAATAGATTATCAACATCTGATAATTATTAGTTCTTATGTGAACAATAAGGAAAGGAAAAGTAGAAATTTATTTCCCTCCTTCAAAAATAAATTAAATGATATTATTAAAATATGCAGATAAATTTGGATTTGTTGATTATCAGGAGCAGTATCACCCAGAAGCATCGTCATCATCATCATCATCACAGCAAAACAAAGCTAATCTAATTATTTACTAAAGAATATTATGATGCAAAATTTATTATTTAAGAATACAATAAAGGTCGTATAACCACATGATTTTATTGTATGAGTGTTAACAATGTCGGTAATCGTTAGAAAGTCACGTAGTTGCGTTAACAATGGATCTCAAGGTAGATATCAGGTTGTTTTTAAAAAAAATTCATCTTTTTTTAACGAAATGATTATTAACGTTTCCTTTTTTTTTAGGTGGTCGGTCCCTCAAATCCCATAGACGTGGAGGTATAATGATCTATTTCTTTTTATATAATAAAATTAACTTCGCAAATTTTCTTTTTATTTTCTTTTTATTTTATTATTTATTAAAAACGGTTTTAAATTTTAACTTTTTTTTTATTTGTATTTTTTTTGTAGGTAATATTTAAACAAAAAAATTTTTTAATTGGATGAAGTCGTGCTTTATTATGCACGTGACTTATTGCGACAAATGTGCAATTACTATCTTGTCCAATCATTGTAAATTGAATAAAAAAAAATAGTTTCTTGAAAGAATTTAAGTTTAAATCAATACTAGCATCAATAGCAATTATCCAATTAATAAAAAGTTAGTTTCAGTTATGAAATATTTATAATAATTGCTTTTTTCATTATTCCACAAATTCAAACTTTCAACTTTTCTAAAATCTGAAGCTTCGCGTGATGTGGCGCAGTAAAATGTGGCAGTAAATTAGTTGGAAACACAACAATTTTTTTAATTTTTTTAAAAAATTTATAATGACTGATATTAAAACTAATTATTTGGTCATTATTCGTATTTTATTCAACATTTCAACCTAGTATTAGTAATATATTCGACACAAAACTTTATGTCAAATTATGGTGGTCTAAAGACGACCCAAATTTAGTTTCAGTATTTGTTAATTTAGCTTTAATATTAGTTACAAATCTGAATTTATTAAACACTTTAAATATCCACATGTTTATAGCATCTGCATCTATCTAATATAATCAAATTCGGTCCACAATTTCGCAATCACGTGATCTGTATCCCTAAAAGAACGCACGTTAAAAATCGTTTTTCATATAAAAATATCATCATCCGTTCCAAAAGATGCCGAAACCTAAAAATAAAAAGAAACATTAACAGTTAATGAATGTTTCTTAAAGATTATCTTCCCAAATTCATACCTCCCAAAGAAAAGTCTAGTCGAAATTTATAAAAAATTTCCGAGTCAAATTCGCCATCATATTTAAAGCAGAAAATCAAGTCCAAGTCCGACCTAAAAATGAAAAATATATCTACAAAATGGAAAAGGGGTGTTAAAAAAAAAACTTCAAAAAAAAGGTTCAACCTGAACCGTTTCTTAACTTATCATCCAAGATCCAGTAAGTTCAATGAAGCAAAAACCTACAAAAATGTTAAAAACAAATTAATAAAAAAATTAAATAGTAATATAAAAAAAAAACTTTTAAAAAAGTTTCGAAGTGAAACGCTACAAAACCTACCAATACGATCTAGGAAGTGCAAATCTGTCGATAACTGTACAAAATAAAAGATAAAAAAAATTAATAAAAAAAAATTAAAAAAATCAAAATTAATAATAATAAATAAACTTATGAAGAAATTCCGCCCTACAAAAGTAAGTTGGGGAAAACAAGAGAGGGAGAGGAAGGAGTGAAAGGGGAAGAGAGAAAGAAGAATGAGAAGAAAGGGTGAGAAGGGTAAGGTAGGAAGAGCGAGAGAGAAGGTTGAGAACGATGAAGGAAAAAAATAAAGAAAAAAGAAACATTAGTACGTTTCTTCAAGTTAATGTCAAAAAAACCCTTCCCAATGGACTTACCAAGTCATTTCTAAGGCTACTAGTGTCCATGAAAAGAAAAGAAACGTTAAAAAATGTTTCTAATGGCAAAAGAAACCCCAAACAAATTGTTTCGCAACGTTCTTACCGAACTCAAGCCCCTAGATCGACACCAGGACCTAAAAAAAAAGAAACGTTAGTAAAAAGTTTCGAAGACTTCACTTCTATGATTTCTTATAGGTTCTCGGACAATTTAGAATTATTTCTAGATATCATGTCATCATGTTTATTATCATATTTTCATTAAAATTAAATAACATTATTAAGCATAACATTAACAAATTTCTATTTTAAAAAACTAAAAAGAATATAAAACTAAGATGATTAAATATTGTTTTTATTATCTTTAGTTTTTACTATACTCTAATTTTACAGCTAATAGAATCCATGCATAGTCCAAACCACATATATTTGTTAAACAAATAAAAAGAGTAGAATATAATAACTAATGTAAGCTCGTCCTACATAGTAGAACGATCGTTCTTCGTTAGAAATATGTTCAATATGTCCTATGAACTAGACGCGCAAATAGACAATATTAAAAGGCAAATGACCGACAAAGTAAAGTCTATATACAAAACCACCCCATATTATTCTTTACTGAAAAGTGTTGTATGCAAAATGCTGTCAGGTACAAAATGATATCTGTCAAACAAAAGACTATACACACAGTGAAATTCGATATAATGAAATCTCAATACTATCTCAATAAATATTAGTAATAAAGAAGGGTGACAAAATTGTCATCTTTAGCGTAATTTTAAAATTTTTTATAGTTTTAGTTTTTAAATTTAATTAGAAAATTTTTCGTAGGAATTTTCTTCATTTTTTTTATTAGATTTTTTTATAAAATAAAATTTTTTTGTAGAGAATTTTTTTTTTTAACAGGTAAAGCTTTCTTTGATATAATTTCTTTAGGAAATTGTAATTATTTTGATAAAAAAATTTCGTTAGATAATTTTTTTATTGATAGAGTATTTCTTTCAATTGAGGAGTTTTTCTTTTTGATCAATAATTTCGTTAAAGAAATTTTAACGAGATTTTTTTGATAATTTCGTTGTAAAAATTTTTTTAACAAGAAAGATTTTTTTTTTGAGAGTGAATTTCGTTTAAGAATTTTTTTTGAACTTATGATGTAATGCCGGCCAGTATTTTATTAAATTTTTAATTCTGGCCAAAAGTACATCATAATGCTGGTATAATGAGAATTTAATCAAGAATTTTTTTTTTTTTGATTGATAATTTTTCGTTAGAAATTTTTTTTAATAGAAGTGAATTTTTTTTTTGACAAAGAATTTTATTGAGAATTTTTTTTTTATAGAAATT